GTTTCCTGTGCCTGTTTGATCCATTTTGTACAATACAAAATATGCATTTTGGGGAAAGGCTTTATGACTGAAAAATGCTTTTCTTCAGAGATTTAACTTTTTGAAAACGTTTGTCTTCAAGGTGCACATTGCTCAGTGTTTGATAGTCCACAAAACATAACACTCTTTAATGCTATCTGGACAATGCGTGTTTTAATTTTACGTTTCTATATTATATAAAGTTTACTCATCACAAAACTAATAGAGATGTCTGAAATGCAAATATTTCCAGAACACAGTGTTTAAAGTTAGTAGTGATAGGGCTGGAAAAAAGCGAGAGAAGTCCTTTAAATATCAAGTTCTGAGAGAATGCGGTCCAAATACAGAGAAATGACCTCCAATCACCTTCTTCTACAGAATATCCAAAGAGAAAAATTTTAGGAAAAAATTGTAGGCTAAATGGTCCAAATCTTTAACAGAAGGAAAATCTTTGAGGTATCTCTTCTTCTCGTGACTGATGAAACAATCTGCTTTCCAATGCTAATAGATGTATGAAAATTAGTTGCCCCTGGTCCTCTCTTCCGGTTAAGAGCCAAAATCAGAATAACCTTGCCAGGCAATTCTGGCAACCCCGCCCGACTTGAGCGGAAGGCAGGAGAGATGCAATTACTCTGTCAGTCACCACTCCCGCTTACCTAACACCTGAAACTCCTTTCCTTTGGAACCGAACACTCAGTTCCCAGCAGGCTGCTCCTAACCTCCAGCCTCTCGCTCTTCCTCTCCAGTCAGGAGTCACCCTGATGGCCAGGTGAGGGCTTGCTGTGCGAAGTTCATCACAAGAGAAATACAGGGTGTCCCCAAGAATGTATGCACTTTACCAGATGATAGCTCTACTTTGAAAATGAAGTGCATTTTACTAAACACTGCCTTCATAATTATTGAAAGTGTGTGTATACCCTTTGGGGGGGACCCCCTATGTACAGGTACCTGGTTACTAGCTCTAAGACACTGTGAATAACTCAATCTGTCTAAGGTGCCCAGCTGCCTCACGTGTGCAGCTGGCCAGGCTGTGCAGGGCACAGTTCCAGGAGGTGCATTCGCCTCAACTCCAGTGTCAACAGTCCCCCTGGAGTTGGGCAAGGAACGAGCTACACAACTGGACGAAGGAGAACTGGTTCTTGTCGCTTTCCAATGCTCAAAAAAGGGAAAGCTCTATGTGCCTTGGTGTGGACAGTAACAATACGAGGGCACTCACTTCATGTCCAAGGGGCTCTTTTATACCTTTTTTTTTAAGTTTGGGGACAGAAGTGATTAACATGTATTAAGCACATAAGTCCTAGTGGGCTAGGGCTCATCTATGCACTTTACACCTATGAATTCATTGAATCCTCACAAGAAACCTACAAAGTAGAAATGTTGTCCCTATTTTACAGATGAGGAAATTGAAAAATTAAGTAATGTTTCCAAGTTATACAACTGGTCCATTGAGACTGGGACTTAACTCAAGGATTCAGGATCCAGGGTCCAATTTTTTTTTTTACTATACTTGACTGCAACTTATGCAGCATTTAAAATGAGCATCTGAGAATATCCATGGTATTTGTTTTAATTAGCATCTCTATCACAATACAAGGTTTAACTTTCTAAATTAATTGAATGTACTCTAAAACTCAGTTACTGAAATTTAATTGTCTGAAATTAAATAAGAATTTCCAAGGAAATAAACATGCCATTTTTGTTCAAGTAAGAAATTTGACTTGATGAATACAAAGTTTATTAGAACTTTTAAGGGGGGGTTAAATTTCAATTTTAAAAAGGATAGATAGATAGATAGATAGGAGATGATGAAAGATAAATCACTCATGTCTTCTGAATTGTACATATGTAATTTATTCATCAAACATTACTGATGACCTCTATGGCCTGACACATTAATAATCACTGCATATGACCAATTATAGAAATGAGATCACCAACATATATATATAATGACTTTTTTCCCACAAATAATTAAATACAAAACATGTTTAAAAATTGAAATGATTTCTTTGAATTACCTAATTCATCTTCAAATTTCCCAGAGGGGAGTGGATGAGGCCCTTTCTTAAACCCATTCTAGAGATGAGAAGGGTTGCTATACCCCAGGCCAGCTGGAAGCAGCTCCATGAATCTAATGCATAGTCCAATTGTCTATCCCTCCGACATGAAAGCTTGAAGTAACTCCAAATAAAACGATAGCCAAACAAGTAAAGTAGCAGTTGTTATTAAAATATCCTCAAAATGTATTTATTGTGTATCTACCATATACAGTACAAACCTTTATGATCCTATATAATAAAAGTCTAATAAGCTAAGTGTCCAGTTGTCTGGTCGGCCATTCAACCAATCAAAGCGTAATATGCTAATGATATGCTAAGGCCGCTCAACCACTCACTATGATGTGCACTGACCACCAGGGGGCAGATGCTCCGACCAGTAGGTTAGCTTGCTACTGGAGTCCAGCCAATCGGGACTGAGCAAGATGGGCCAGACATGTCCTGGAGCCCTCCCATGGTCCCTCCCCAGCTGGCCAACCTCCTGCATCCCTCCCCAACCCTGATTGAACTCTCAAGACAAGAAGTGCTTTCTCCACACTGATATGTCCAGTCCAGGTCACCAAAAGAGACAACTTAGTTGGTTTATATTGTCAGGAAACTACTGAAATATTTATTAAATGTTGAAAATAATTAGATTAGCAAATTCACTCAAATAATCAAGTAGCCACAGAGATGTATTAACTAAAATAATTAAGTTTTTAAAAACACAATTCTAAATAATTTAAGGCTACAATTATATTTCCAAATGTCTAATGAGCATTTTCAAAATTTAGAAGTGTTTCTTATTAGCTACCCCTTATTCCTAGAAGAGCAAAAATAATCACATTTCATAATACCCCCTAGAATTAGGAAACATTCTTGAGTTTAAGAGAAGATGAGCAAGAGTAAAGGTTTAGCCTAAGTAACTTCTCTAAGGACTCTCATTCTGTGAAAAGACTGAATAAGACACAGCTGTCGACAATGTTCATTCTCCATAGTTTAGGGTTGTCCTTCCTATGCTGTCCCAAGAAAACAGAACTGTACTTCAGTGGCTCTTAAAAGAGCCGTTCTCTGTGGGGCTAGTGCAAACATGACGCATATTTTCTGGATGACTCTTCCCCGTTTCCCTGTGAAGGGGAGTGTGGCTGGCCTTCCTCCCTGAGTCAGGGGCAGTGCAGTTCCCACATTGCTCTGGTCTGCTCTCCCACGTAACTCCTCAGAGTGTTCAGTAAAGAGCAGCAAAGCTATCCCATCACGTTGAGACCTATTATCACAATATGCAATGGCTCTTTTCATGGCTATTTGAACACACACCCTTGGAAATAAAGATTTCAATGAAATATTTAGAATGGAAAGGTCCCGGCATCCTATGTCTGATAGAATTACTGCTTTGGTTCAGACTCGGACTTACCTCTTTATGATAATCTCCCCAAATAAACAATGTAATAAATCTATATCATTTCAGGAGTAACCCCCAGTCTTTGCCAGGAAAAAGATCTAAATTGACTAGTATAAAACTTTCTCTCTACTACTGGTTTTTATTTATCTATGTATGCCTTCTTTGGCTAGAATCCACTGTTGTGGTGACATACACACTTCGGAGTCAGGCTGCCATGGTTCAAATCCTGGCTCTACGAGGTCTGTTAGCTGGAGCCACGTGCTCCCTCTCTCGTGTCTCCATTTCTTTATCCACAAAAAAAGGGATCACAATAACAGAAGCTCACTGCGACGGCTGCTCCAAGTATTAGGATAATAAATATAAAGCTCTATGCATAGCAACTGACACAAAACCATAATAAATACTAACTACTATTATTACTTTCATTTTTTCTTCTGATTTATTTTTCACGATCTTTCCCCTACCAGATTTCCTTCAGATCACATGATCAGTGGATTAGCAAACAGTTGTGAAACATCTACGGAGGAACAGATATTGTAAGGGTTGCAAGTAATAATAATAATGTAGAAGCACTGATCGGGCAAATTTACAGTTCTCTTGGGTTAGCACCACAATGTACATAAAACGATTAAGAAATAATAAATTCAGGCAAACCATTCTGGACTAAATTGCATAGTTCAGAATAAGGGTTGCACATGCCCAGAAAAGGAGACCTCAGTAAAAACAGCTTCATGGATGTTGTTGGAATCTGAATTGATCTTAAAGGATGAGTAATACTTAAGTGGGTGAAAGGGGAAGAAGGATGCGTTCTAGGCAGAAAACAAGATGGAAAAAGACAGAGATGAAGGTCCCGAGTGCTCTTGAGAAGTAAAGACCCTAGCCTGCCTGCCTTCATGTTTTATCGTCATTTATTTCAGATGAGTAAGAAAATTAAGCTCAATATTTAAATGGAGTAGGGCAGAGATGAGCAGGTCTGTGTGCCACAGCAAGCAGTTCTTGTGTTTAGAATAGCCTAACCCCATCTTCTATGTTCCATTCTCTAACCCAGACGAGTTCCTTTCATTATGTCCACTCATGAACAACTAAAAAAAAAAGCCTTACCCTGCAGCTAATACAGAAATGCCTTGGTACCAGTCAGTTGCATAAGTCATGGCTTTTAAAAATCGCCCAGGGAACTTGATGAGTTTATCACAATGATGATTGCCATTGTTTGCCAAAGCAACAATTTCCGCATCTCCTAAAAGTATTTATAGAACAGCCAGATTCAAAATGTCTGGTTACTATAACTGGCTGTTAAAAAGAGTTTTTCAAAATCCAATAGATTTTTCTGTATATCTTTAAAATTCTGTAGTCAGAGTAAAGAGAATTTGTTTATATTTAGAACATTTTCTTTTTCCTGAGAAGATTTTATCCTTTGAATCGAAATCTACTTTTTTAAAAAAATAGAAACAAACTATAATATGAACAGCAGAATGTAAATATCGGGATTATTATCTAAGTAGTTAGTACTGATTTGAAAAATTCATATTTAATTTTACTTTATTTAAATGTCTACAGGTGGTCCTATTGGTTCATGGAGAAATGAGAATAGAGGTAAAGTATGAAAAGTTTTTTGTAATTAAAATAATAGTTCCATTAAAATTGTGTTCAGGCAAACAAATATTAAATGTTTTAAATTATTTAACAATTAAATTGTGAAAATTCTAACAACTAATCCAATAATACTTAAATACCAGCAATGTGTAAGTGTTATTAATATAATTTATCTCAGGCATTGTTTCTTCTTATGTTAAATCAACAGGTTCTAATGAAACAGGGCCTGTGTGCCAAGAATAGTTAAGATACTGTGAAATATATGGAGAAAATACAAAATATGATTAAATGCTGCCTTAAAAGTCACATTGGAAAAAGCTTTGTAACTCTTTTAGTTATTTAATGTTTCTTCTTTGACAAAGTCTGAGATAAAGCAATGTAGACATCCAACAGCCTTAGATATCCTGAAACATAGGGGGCTCCTCAATCTATGTGTCTATATAAGCAATTCCCAAAGCGAAAATGTCCCACGTGTGCATACTAAACGGAACCCCTTTTCCCATAAGACGAAAGGGCAGCCTGGAGAAAATGGAGACATAAACGTGAATGGGTGAAATTTGCAAGACCCTGCAGAGAAGAGGAAGACAACTCCAAAAGAAACCCCATTGCCCAAGTAAGTCACCTGAGCAGGGCAGTGCGAGTTTTCAGAACAAATGGATTAGATGGAAATTAAAGTAATACGACAGTTCCAGTTAGGAAAATGCAGACTGGGCCACCCACAGAACAAGTAACCTGATATCTACAACCAAAATGAAATGTATAATAATAATAATAATAATAATAGAGATAGACAAAGATGAAGGAACTATGGTCTGTAGACTAATAAAAAAATAATTAAAAGACACTTGGACCTATTTCAATGGATAAGCCTTATTTAGATCCAGACTCTAGCCAATAGAAAAAAATATGTGGATAAGATAATTTTAAAAATGGCTAGGAGCCAACATTGAATTGATCATGTATTCTTAATCATTGGCACTGGATGATAAAATATATCAGGTTCATTACACTATTCTAACTTTATATATCTTTGGACTTTTCCACACAAAAAGCTTTAAAATTAGAATAATAAAAAGCAATACATTTTAACACTTACTATGTAATCCCCTTCCCTTTTTTCTCTCCAGCTCTCCCTATTTAAGCTAAAATAAATGGCTTTTATAAATGTTAACTGTTAAGAAAGGAACATCAGAAGTAGCCTCTCTGATTTTATCTCAATCTTTTAACATCACCATGGTGGCCACAATATAAGCAAATGTTCTAAAGCCAAAATGATTAATGCATTTTGGTCCATACCGGTCAACAGAAGCAACAATTTATGTCATATTTCTAGTATATATTTAGGTAATAAATAAACAGCACAGTGTCAGAAAGGGTGAATAAAACGAACAGATGACTGAAGACTATAGCAGAGGAGAAAAGGGGGGGAGGAAAAAGCCTGACTAACACTTTGTATTAGTATTTAACACTTTGGGTATTTTTTGCTGCAGATTAGTTCAGATTTCCATGCAAAACAGAAAATTACCTACCGCATTACTGGAATCGGAATTGATCAGCCCCCTTTGGGAATCTTTGTTGTTGACAGAAATACTGGAGATATTAACATAACAGCCATAGTTGATCGTGAGCAAACCCCAAATTTCCACGTAAGTAGTGTTTTCAACATGGGGCGCCCTTTTCCCTCATGTATCGTAGCTAGAAGATGATACCCTTGTACTGGTTAATTGAGAGGAGATATCAGTGCATAAATCAATCTACCAACAAATAACAACATTAGTCCCTTGACAAAGAGCCTCCACTCATGGTCATGCCCCTGAAGGAACATGTCAGGAGGGGCATGACTGCCAAACTCCAGACGCAGCCTGCCAAGAGCTCCGCCCTGCCATGAGTCAGTAGCAGTCCGGAGAAAGGGCAACTAGCCCAACGGGTCTGCCCAGACGGGTACCTTTTCTTACTTTGTCTACTCTTTGGGGAAATATTTTTCTCCTTTGCATGAAAGTTCTATCCATGCCAGGGCAAGCTCCTAGTATGCAAATTAAGCTTGCTGAGTGAGAATTAACTTTTTCCCTTTTATTTCTAGATCACATGTCATGCGCTAAATGCCTTAGGACAAGAGGTAGAGAAACCACTTATATTAACGGTCAAAATCTTAGACATCAATGACAACCCTCCAGTGTTTTCACAAAGTGTATTCATGGGTGAAATTGAAGAAAATAGTCCTGCAAGTAAGTCTTTTTACAGTACCTGTAATTTTTAATTTTCACATACAAGTATCACAATAGCATATCATTTTTATAAGCTAATTTATTCTTAGTTTCATCAGTTTTCCAGAAAAACTCATAGAGATAACCTAAATCTTCTTTCTGATATTTGCAGTTGAGCTAATAATTCACTGCCTTTGTACTTCTAGGTGCGGCTCTGTTATGAGGCCAATCGTATCTTATTCTGTGCATACAAGTTACATGGGCACCAGCAGTCACAAAGCTAAAGCGGGGGCCTTAGGTAGCCGGGATGCACCAGCAGGGCTTTTTGAGATTATAAGGCACGAGACACTCTCATGTCGCTTGAATAATTTGGGGAAAAGAGAATCATATAGCCATCCACCAAGGGAAGACAGAAAAGCCTCTCAACCCCACACAGCCAAGACCTAAGGGGAACTGGGGGGTTTTAGGGAAGGCAGTACAGTTCTACCTGATGAAGACAGACAGCAAGTGACATGGCATATTTTGTTAGCATACATCCTATCTAATAATAGAGAAACATGGTAATTAACTGCAACTTCACTACCCTTCCCATTGGCTAATCAGCGAGATATGCAAATTAACTGCCAACTAAGATGGCGGCCGGCAGCCAGGCAGCTGAAGCGAACAGGAGGCTTGCTTGCTCCAGTGATGGAGAAAGCCAAGGTTCCCTGCCTGCCGCTGCCAGCCTCTGAGCTTGCACTCTAAGAAACAATGTTGCAATTATAGAAGCTAAACAATCCCCAGAAACCTGCTTTCAGCCAGGCAGGCCTCAGAGCTGGAGTTGCAACAGTGTTACAATTATAGAACCCAAACAAACCCAGATACCTGCTTTCAGCAGCTGAGGTCTCAGAGCTGGAGCCGAGCCTCAGAGCTAAAGCCGGCTCTCAGCTCCAGTGACAGCCATAGAAGGTAAATAAATCCCAGAATAAAAAAGAAAAAAAAGAAGAGGTTGGGAGCTTCAGTCACCCGCCAGCCTGAAAATGGCCTTCAGCCCCTCACCCAGGCTGGCCAGGCACCCCAGTGGGGACCCCCCACCCTGAAGGGGGTGTGACCAGCTGCAAACAGCCATCATCCCCTCATCCAGGCTGGCCAGGCACCCAAGCGGGACCCCCACCCTGATCCGGGACACCCTTCAAGGCAAACCAGCTGGCCCCGACCCATGCACCAGGCCTCTATCCTATATAGTAAAAGGGTAATATGCAAACTGACCCTAACAGCAGAAGGACTGGGAATGACTGATCACTATGACACACACTGACCACCAGGGGCAGACGCTCAATGCAGGAGCTGCCCTCTGGTGGTCAGGGCGCTCTCACAGGGGGGAGCTCTGCTCAGCCACAAGCCAGGCTGATGGCTGCCAGTACAGCGGTGGTGGTGGGAGCCTCTCCTGCCTCCTCAGCAGCGCTAAGGATGTCCGACTGCAGTTTAGTCCACTGGCAAGTGGACATCCCCGGAGGGCTGCCGGGCTGCCAGAGGGATGTCTGACTGCCATCTTAGGCCCAATCCCCCGGGGAGCGGGCCTAAGCCAGTAGGTGGTCTTCCCTGAGGGATCCCAGACTGCGAGAGGGCACAGGCCGGGCTGAGGAACCCCCCCTTCCCCCCAAGTGCACAAATTTTTGTGCACCGGGCCTCTAGTATAGGTATAAGATCTTAAGAAAACAAATACTGATTTGAACTTGTGTTGAGTCATTAGTGTGAAGAGAACATCAACGGCTCCATATGCTTTAATGAGCTTCTCCTTCCCAGACTCTCTGGTGATGATACTGAACGCCACGGACGCAGATGAACCAAACCATCTGAACTCTAAAATCGCCTTCAAAATCGTCTCCCAGGAGCCCGCAGGCATCCCCATGTTCCTCATGAGCAGACACAGCGGGGAAGTCCGCACTTTGACCAATTCTCTTGATCGAGAGGTAAAGCAAGGCGCTTGGGAGCCATTAAAGTAAAGGATTTTATTTAATAAAGCCAGAAAGAAGTGATTCCGTTTTGCCAGAGAATGAAAAGAGAGAGGAAAAGAGGTTCCCAGTACTCAACGGGGCCAATCTAGGGAAACGGTCTTCCAGGGGGTGGGGGGCCCTGGCACCTGCACAATCGATCACACCCTCAGTAAACAAGTGAGTGCACCAGTGGGCGCTACAGTGGAAGAGGGCATTGCCATTCATGGACAAGGACCAACTGTGATTAATTCCCCATATGACGGAGGGAAAGGGTATTTCACAGATGAAGCACAAAATGTCTATCTGGAAAACAGCCATCTCTGATGGCACACTTTTTCTCCTGACTTCTTTTAATGTTACCCCTGCTTCCAGAACACTAAAGAATCTCCTTCCTCTCTCTCCCCCATCATCCTACCACCACACCACCACCACACACTACCCCATCGTATTCCATATAACTTTTATGCAGATGATTTTCTGAACAGACCGACAGGGAAAAATAACTCTGTAAGTGAGCTTCCCTCGCATAGCATCCCACCATCATCACTGCCCACGTTTGTTCTAAGTGTCCTTTCTTGCCCTAAGCAGCCCACAAAGAGAAAATCTGTTCTAGCCTCTTAAAGACTTCGAGAGCCCCACACACACCCTCGATGATGGACAGCACACAGTGCACGTGCTCCAATAAATCATGAGCTGGAACATTTTCCCTCCCTACTCATAGGAAGCAAGTAGTTGTCACTCATATTCTTGGCACTAGAGTTAATTAATTTTCTTTCTTGACTCCAAATGTAGCAAGTGAGCAGCTACCGTCTGATTGTGAGTGGCGCAGACCAAGATGGAGAAGGATTATCAAGCCAGTGTGAAAGCAGCATCAAAGTGAAGGATGTCAATGACAACTTCCCAATGTTCAAAGAATCTCAGGTACACCGTTCACTCCCTCAAGAATAATTTTTATGTATTTTTTTATTATATACGTTGCCACCCTAATTCAGCATGTGTCTGCTTGCTGGCTTCTATTTAGGTTCTCCGCACTTTTCTCTAAAATAATAGCTTTTGTAAAATACAAGAATTCAGTCACTGACAAGGAGGCAATACATAATCTGAGAATTCATGATTAATGCCATTCAGAGTAAACATAATCCCCTTCAATAGAACCTGACATTGAATCTTAAATTCTGCTTCTCTCCTTAGTATTCAGTGAGTATTGAGGAAAACACTTTGAGTTCTGAGTTACTTCGATTTCAAGTAATAGATTTGGACGAAGAGTTCACAGATAATTGGCTGGCAGAGTATTTCTTTACCTCTGGCAACGAAGGGAATTGGTTTGAAATACAAACTGACGCCAGGACTAACGAAGGCATCCTGAAGGTGGTTAAGGTAAGGTCTCACTTCCCTTTGGTGGCAAACATATTCTCTTTTAGCCAAAACTATCATTTCTACAAATAAACTTTATGCACTTATTAATCATACCACCTCCTTCTAGAAAACACATAAAAGTAGGTCGAATTTTTTAAAGACACACACATATAGCCCCATTACCTAAAGACAGCCTTTTTAACATGTTGATTTATTTCCTTCTAAAACAACATACTGTCTGTAGTAAACACAAATACACACACACACACACACACACACACACGCGCGCGCTTGATTTAAGCACAAGAAAGTAGAACACATTTCTTGACTTAATCTTTCTCCCTCTACAACTGAAGTTAGGAAGAGATACAAACACACACATGGAATTGTGGCTTTTGAATCTGTCCATTTATTTTAAGTGGATTAGCTAGTCAAGGAGGAAAAGAGGCAAGTTTTTCTAGAAAATGGGAACGTATAACTAAAGCTGCAAGATGAGAAATGGGTGAGTAAAGTAACCCTTTAACATGCTTGGCAGTCATTGCAAAGTTAACACTCAAATCCAGATCCCTTACTATATTATTTCCATGAATACACAAATGTAACTAAAATGAGCATGTCCTGATCTCATCACCCTCAAAAAATTTACTATGAAGGCTCTCCTAGGGTTCCTCAGGCCTTGGTCTGGGCCAGCTCCATAGGAAGGTCAAATCGTTCTCATGCAAGACCATCTGCAAATGGGTCTATAAAAAGCCACCCATGCACTGCTTTACAGAGGCCTCTTTGCCAACCAAGTTTATAAAGACAGTTTGCCTTGGCCACCTACAAATTTTTTAAATCAGAAAAGACATCATTGCACATGAATCCAGTGACTGTTCTGTGAGTGACTAGAGCTGCCATTCAGAGGAATGTATTATGGGCCTCAGTTTGCTCAGTCCTCACAATCTGACGAGGTGAGGGATTTGTTTTTGTTAGTTTTGTTTGTTTGTTTTTATTAATCCTCACCCAAGGATATTTTTCCATTGATTTTTAGGGAGAGTGAAAAAGAGAGGGAAAGACAGAGAAACATTGATGTGAGAGACACACATCGACACACAGATTGGTTGCTTCCGATCAGGGCCAAGGCTCAAGGAGCCTGCAACCAAGGTACATGCCCTTGACTGGGATCAAACCCAGGACCCTTTGGTCTGCAGGCAGATGCTCTTTCCACTGGGCCAATCCAGCTAGGGTGGGATTTTTTTTCAAAAGTGGGAAGTTGAGGATCAGAGATATGAAATACTGTTCCCTGAGTCGCACGGATTGTAAGTAGCAGAACCGGGATTCAAACCAGGCTGCCATAGCACGTTTGGGTTCTTTCCTCTGCACCCCGTTGCCTAAAATGACGTTTGCTAGTACCCTGCTTTGTGAGTATCATTGTACTGAGGTTACATGAGTTAAGAATTCCGAGGTTCCTCTGTCTCAACATTACAATGCTCTCTGAAACGATTTTGCTAGATCTGTTTCTATTCATAGAAATAGAAGGATCCATTCATAGCATATAAGATAGAGTTCTCTTGTCCTCTTCTGGGTTTGCCAAACCGTATTTCTTTGACACTTCTTTTCTTCTCATTTTATTTTTACTCCAGCCGCTAGATTATGAACAACTACAAAATGCACAATTTAGTATCGCCGTCAAAAACAAAGCTGAATTTCACCAATCTGTAATCTCTCAATATCGAGTCCAGTCAACCCAAGTCAAAGTTCAAGTTATAAATGTGCGAGAAGGAATTGCATTCCGCCCTGCTTCCAAGACGTTTACTGTCCAGAAAGGCATAAGTAGGAAAAAGTTGATCAATTACATCCTCGGAACGTATGCAGCCATTGATGAAGACACTGGCAAACCTGCTTCAAATGTCAGGTATGATTACTTCAATAACATTGTATTATTCCTTGACTTAGTATTAATCTATAAATTATTACACCCAGCCAGTGTGGCTCAGTGGTTGAGCGTCAACCTATGAACCACAAGGTCACAGTTCAATTCCCACTCAGGGCACATGCCCTGGTTTCAGGCTCTATCCCCAGTGTTAAAATAAATAAATAACACCAAAACTATTATATGGCAAGAATATAAAGTTATACAAAGGTGGCCAACTCAATGAGCTGAGTTAAAATAAATAAATAACACCCAAACTATTATATGGCAAGAATACAAAGATATACAAAGGTGGCCAACTCAATGAGCTGCTAACTGGAGAAGAGATAAGTAGTGGAATCATTAGATGATATTGTATTATGAGCAAAGATAACATAAGCATAAGTTAAAGTGGAAACTAAAAGAAAAATGCTTCAGCCTGCCTACAGAGGTCAGGACAATGGTTCATGGAAACTTTCAATTGAGTCTGAAAGAGCAGAAGTTCACCAGAAGGCTGTGGTGCAATAAGACGGAACAGTATCTACAAAGACACATACGCCTAAAATCTAAGAGCATGTGCAAAAACAGTTACTGTAGTGTGAAGAGTAAGAACACAGGTTATTGCACCGAGCATAAATTAGAAAAACCCAGGTGAACACACCTTAAGGGTTACTGTTTTTCCATGCTAATTTGTTAATTCTCTGCTGCTTTTCAGAAAAGCATATTTCAATGTCTTATATTCAATATAAATACATTAAATATAAATGGGTCATTGTCATTAAGTAGGTAACATTCCATATTTGAAAGAAAACTATTACCTTTTTCTATTATAAAACAGATATGCCCTCGGACGGAATGATGGTGGTTTTCTAATTATTGACTCAAAAACGGCTCAAATCAAATTTGCCAGAAACATGGTTCGGGATTCTACTTTCATATTTAACAGGACAATCATAGCAGAGGTTCTAGCCATCGATGGTAAGAAAAATGTTTCAATCGTATTTATAGAAATGTTCCTCCAATTGCATTTAGTTATGAATAGATGATTATGATTCTTTAACAAATTCCCTTCAACACTAGATCAATGATCATAGGGCCTTGGGTCTCAAGTCCGAGGCAGCTGAAGCTAGAAGGCTAGCATTCCAACATCTCAGTGGCCTTTGTAGCACCAAGTGAATTCTGTGTTCCGTCCTGTGGTTTGCTTGTGGTTGGGACAGGGATTTTTAGACCCACCGGAGTTTCTGGTTTTGAGAAGGATGGATAAAGATTGATGCTGAATGCCTACAAGGGAAGCTCAGATGTATGAGTAACTCACAGCTCCAGGTGCCTTTGTGAGTTACTCATACAATGAGCTCCTTATGAAAACCTCATGTGCTTATGTCATTAAACAATAAAATCTTCTGGAATGTTTTAAAAATACTATTCATTAACCTTGTATGTGTGCGTCCACAAGTATAAAATTAGCTTATACTCGCCGAAACCGGTTTGGCTCAGTGGATAGAGCATCAGCCTGCGGACTGAAAGGTCCCAGGTTCAATTCCGGTCAAGGGCATGTACCTGGGTTGCGGGCACATCCCCAGTGGGAGATGTGCAGGAGGAGGCTGATCGATGTTTCTCTCTCATCGATGTTTCTAACTCTCTATCTCTCTCCCTTCCTCTCTGTAAAGAATCAATAAAATATATTTTAAAAAAAAATTAGCTTATACTCAAGGCAATAAGCAAACATAAAGTTAAAACAAAAGAATAAACAGCAAAATTCATATCATCTGAGAAAACAGCAAAAAGCACGAAGGGAAAAAATACAGAAAGATTCAATCCTGCCACTGCTAGATTTCATTTAATGTTTTTGATTGTCAACATATTTAAATTTTTTTCAATAATCTTTTATATCTTAGGTAACAAAAATAAATCATTTATTATTCCAAATACTTTGGCCCAAGCTTTAGAAGTAAAAAATCTTTCACACAGTGCCGGGATCATGGAGTAGGATACACTTAAGAAAACTATTATTTTTCTGTTGATTTCATTAGCAGTCAGTGAATTCATCACCTTACAGGTCTTAGTCCCAAGGATATTAAATTAATAGCCAATGCTACAGAATCAGATGCCAGCCAGGTTGAATTTTCTTTTTACAAGATGTGGAGATTGTAGGTCATTTTTACTTGTAAGAATAACAAATATAATCTTTCATGAGAAGTCACACTAACTTGGCTGCATGCAGGAAACACTTAAAAGGTTCATTTTTGTTTGTTTATATATTTTTAAATATATTTTATTGATTTTTTACAGAGAGGAAGGGAGAGGGATAGAGAATTAGAAACATCGATGAGAGAGAAACATCGATCAGCTGCCACCTGCACACCTCCTACTGGGGATGTGCCCGCAACCAAGGTACATGCCCTTAAACTGGAATTGAACCTGGGACCCTTCAGTCCACAGGCCGACGCTCTATCCACTGAGCCAAACCAGTCAGGGCTGTTTATATTTTTTCATCTTTATTGTTGAAAGTATTGCATATGTCCCCATATTGACTCTTCTAGCCTGCTTGTTCTGTGTATCTTTTTAACTCTAACATGCCATTCTTACAGAAAACACGGGCAAGACATCTACAGGCACCGTCTATGTTGAAGTGCCTGGTTTTAATGAAAATTGTCCAACAACTGTCCTGGAAAAGGAAAGGATCTGCAGCTCATCGCCTTCCGTGGTTGTCTCCGCGAGAGCGCAGGACGGTGATAGATACACTGGCCCCTACACGTTTTCACTGGAGGATGAAAGTGTAAAACTGCCCATCGTGTGGCGGATCACCACCGTTAACGGTGAGTAGCAGTGCAGGTGCCATCAAGGCAAATTCCCGGAGGATGAGAGGGCTCCTGGGAGCGAGTTCTTTCCAGGAGCAATTGAAAAACATTCAATGCGACGAAGATGGAGCCCTTGCCTCGGGAATTTCTTCTCTTTAGCAGAGGAAAGAAATGCTGTGAGATCGTGTTAGCACTGTTTAATATTTTCTGTTTTTCATGTGGACTCCAATTTTTTATTCTTATATGTTATTTCTACCTCCAGAGCACACCAAAATAAGATTAGTCAGTTACCTATTGCATTGCAGAGCTGCTTAGGTTTCTGAATACATAAAGGTTTCTTTCTGGGCAGGCTGTGGGCAGACAGGACTCACTGGAGAGCCGGCCTGCTCGGGGCTCATAGGAAGAGCTCCTTAGAAGAGCTGCAAGTCAGGAATCCCGAGCATGGGGTGAATGGAAACCTGTAAACCCATTAGCCAATGGCAATGAGCTAATCCATCCTTCCTTTTCTTCTGACCTTTTCCACGTTAAGTTTACATTTCCTGACTTTGCCAGGAGTCTCAGAGAAACAGCCAAGAGACTTAATAAGAATCTCCTCCCTTTCCAAATTGTATAGTGACCATCAGGCCACCCCAGTCCCTTATAAATGAAGTCACTTTTCTCTAACTCCTTTCTAAACCAACCTTGCTCCGTTATCCATGTGCGCCGTGGGGCCCTAGTCCTAGGTGTCAGTCATCGCTAGGTCCCCAAAGGGGTCTTGCTCTCCATGGCCTTCTTTCCTGGGGCCTTACTGACCCTGGGGTAAGGTTTTAGCTCCAAATGAAGCATGCAGTTCTAAATGGGTTTACCAGACACACGGCCAATGAAAAGGCTGCAAAAGAAACATGAGACAGACAGGGCCTGGCACTAGATACACCTGCCTGGGTGAGGCTGGACTGGGTGGACCAGGGGTAATGGCAGAGGGCATGATGGAGTCAAGACCGATTCAACACTAGGCTGTACAGCTGGAACTAAAACAAAATAATATTGAATGTAAAATAAATAAATAAGGATTGACGGACGCAGCACAGACCTGCAGCCACTGAGAGCTGCTGCCGGAGCCCACTTAGAAAGGAACGATGTAGCAATAGAGAATAGAGAGCAATCAATGCTCACAAGTCAGATAGACAATGGCCTTCACCACAGGGAATCCCATACAACCAGCACCAGGCTCATGGGATCAGGACTGACAGGAGCGGCTGAGGTAGCATCAGCCAAAGCAGACAGTCAGTCTTGGTAAGTCAGACACAAACACATGGATTTAGGCAGGAGGGATGCAGTCACGGTGTTACAGGAAAGGGGACCTGGCCCTTGGTGGGTCTGCCTCGGGCGGCCAGTAGTGTGTGGGTTCTTGACCTCCTGCAGGAAAAACTTCACAACGAGCTCAGATGACTGTGGGGGAACACTTGCTCAAGCTGGAGTCATAAAACAAGAAGGGACTAGCTTAGAAGAAGCAACAGGAGAGCCTGGGCTGGGCTGCCCTAGCTCTCGGGGAGTCAGGGAAAAGGGAGCCTTGGGGACAGGTTTAGGGGTTAGCCTGGGACGAACTGCTGCTGCCCACTGCTCCCCTGGTTGCAAGCCTCATGGGGTCCTTTAGGGTTTAGGAGATGCGTGCCTGTGGGGGAAGAAGAGGGAAAGGGAATGGCGGGACAGGGGGCGTTCCCCCAAAGGGAGAGCACACGCTGAGTCCTTTGTCTGGAGACTTTATCTCTTTCTTGCAGGCGGGAATCTTAGGAAAGGTCTCAGGGGAGGGTTTCAGCAGAATATTAATCCGTTTTCTAGGTTCAGGGTCGTGGTCTCCCCGATTGGTCAGTCGCAGGGCAGGGGTTAGTCAGTCATCGCAGCAGGTCCTGGTGTTGCCCACCTGACGCTGCTGCTTGTCTGGGCCTGGAGCTGAAATACAACTGAGGCCTAGAGGTTATCTCCAAGGAGGCGACCCTCTGTACCGGCTGTAAATGGCTCCGCCAGTTTGTTCAGCTGTGGTCTCCGTGTCCCTGCTCTACTGCCCTGGCTTCCCGCCCGTCTCAAGAGGGCCACCAAGAACCAAGGAGTTGGCATAGGCAGCCACACAGGAGCGGGTGCGCCCCAGGAGAGGGACCTGGGACTTAAATGATGCCAGCTCCCCTCTTCTTTATGGGGACATTCAGGGTAGGACTGGGTCTTCATGGGGGACCCCTCTGGGACCAGGAGGATGTGCAGCCTGATTTACCCAGCCGAATCCCTGTAGCCTCATAACTGCTCAAATCTCATCCTACCATTAGCCCCACTGCTTGCGACAGTGACGTCTACGGAACTCTGGTTCTGTTAACCAAAAGCAGTGGTTTTAGAGAAAAGGCACCTGTCCCACTGTTGATGTGCATGATTATTTCTCTACAGCCACCTCTGCACTGCTGACCACCCAGCAGCAGCTGCCCCCCGGGAGGTACCCCATCTCCCTCGTGATCGCAGACAGACAAGACAGGCAGTGTGACACTCCAGAAGGCCTGGCTGTGGAGGTGTGTCAGTGTGACAACAGGGACACCTGTACAGAGCCCCAGCCCGGGCCCAGGTATGGAGACCAGCCATCTGGGAGGCTGGGGCCCAACGCCATCGGCCTGATCCTGCTTGGCCTTTTGCTGTTGCTGTGTGAGTATCCCCTCGCTCCCTCCTGTTTCTCCCCGGGGTCAGCATTGCAGAGGCTTCGCACTGCTCGGGCGATGCATGTCTGCGATGCAGTAGACATGTTCCCTAACTTTCACAGGCAAAGCGGGGGAAATGGCACTCCCAGGAAGAATCTGCAGTGTTTACAGTTAACGTGTCACTTGCCAATAATCTATATTCATACCCAGCCAAGCAGGTCATGTCTGTGAGTCACAATCTATAGTCACAAATGGCAGACATTAGCATAAGGCATAAGCAAGTAATAAATGCTAGACATTTAGAAAATAGCATGAGAGAATCAAGATGGGGAAAATAATACTCATGATCAAAACAATGACTTTATCCATGAGGGAGACACTTCCTAAAATGTTTTCGCCATATCCAAGTCTCATGAGGTTCTGAAATAAACAGAGAGCCTTGGACAAATCAATGTAGGAAATCATGGGCCTTGTGCGTTACAGCAACAGGAACTTATCACAGGCTCCGAGACAGCACTGCTGGATCCAAGCCTCCTCCAAGCAGCTGACTGCCTCAATGCGCACCCTTTATAGCTTCCTCACTTCATATGATTAGGGTCATGGAACACATTTAGGGAAACTACACACATGTGTTATTTTTTAATAGGAGTAACATGCACTTTATTCAATAGACGGGTTTCTAAAAAGTTGCATTTAAATCAAAATCTTGTGAATCAAATCATATTTTTAATTTAAAAGAACTGGTAAATTCTTGTATAAATAAGAGAAATCCTTGAAAAAATTCACAGTCACTTCCCTAATTCATTATAAAACCATAGATTTAAAATTAGAGTTAAAATCCACTAAACCCATTCGCTTAAATGTTAATTTACAAGGTATTTTTAAAGCATAAGGAAGTGCAGTTTGCTGGTTTAATTGCTGTTTCCTAAGAGCACAGAGGAGACCAGACCACTAAAACATCACGCCCACCTCAAATCCTGTCCATCCCGTGTGCATTCACTTGACACCACAAACACAGCCTCAACATGTACAAATAAACGCTGTCATAATAAGAATTACAAACAAGGAACCACTGCGTTCATCAGCCATCAAACAGGGCCCGTTTAAGACAACAACACACATATCACAAGAATGACCGCTCTGTCTCCTTCAGTTTCATGATCATATGAACTTTTAGTATGTTTAATTTACCAAATGTTATTTCACAGAAACAAACTGTGCTTTCTATTAGATTTTCCATAAATATTAAAAATATTTTCTTTTCTTTGAACATTTCTGACAATCGTCATGCTAACTCATTTCCGAGAGATTGAAATGTCTTACTACTTTGTCTTCCTTTATGCTAGTGGCCCCCCTTCTGCTGCTGACCTGTGACTGTGGGAAGGGTCCCATTGGGGGAGCAACAACTGGATTCATCCCAGTTCCTGAGGGCTCAGAAGGAACGATTCACCAATGGGGGATCGAAGGGGCCCAACCTGAAGACAAGGTGAGGATCCAGGTTTATCTCAATTATATAGAGTGAAGTTCTGTTTATATTCAGGTAGGAAAGGCGATTTGGGGTATAAAAATAAGAGGTTCCCTGGCCCTCAAGGACCCTTGGGAGTCAGTGCTGAAATGAATGGAGCCTTTTAAGATCTTAGTTCTTCAGACGTCAAATCCTAAAAGTGGTTATTCCTGCAAGCATTTGGGTTTCTTGTAATGTCACCATTTGCAAAGGGCCACAAAATCTGTGTGTGTGTCTTTAATGTATTTTTTTTAACAGGGTTTGCAGGAAATCACAAATATTTGTGTGCCACTTATAACCTCCAATGGAGCTGATTTCATGGAAAATTCTGGTACGTGAACACCAAATTTATTTCTGAAAGTCACAGTGGGTTAAATAAGAAATGTTGAAAAACAAGAAGTGTTCTAAATTCTTTTCTTAATAATTTGCATATTTGTGTATATGCTAGGAGGTGGTACCATTAAAATAGGGTTTTAATGAAATGGTTTATTTTTAGGATATTAGTCAATTTCATGACCTAAATCTGGCTTCAGTAAAGTTCATTTGCCCACTGATGCCACTGTTTTTAATATATGAAGATTTGTTACTTTTCTCAAACTTTAATAAACTGAACTATAGCTCTTACACAGTCAATTATGATTTTTTAAATAGAAAAGATTTCACACATATAGAAAAACATAACAAACACTGTACTACCACCCAACTTTGACTATTCTTTTTGTTGTTGTTGTTGACTATCACACATTTTCCCCACTTTCTCCCCCTTTGCCTCCTTCCACCCTGCCCCCACCCCCCTAGGCCTTCACCACACTATTGTCTGTGTCCATGGGTTATGCATATATGCATATATATTCATTGGTTGATCTCTTCCTGTCATCTCCACCCTCCTTCCCTCTGAGATCTGCCAGTCTGTTCCATTTATCCATGCCTCTGGTTCTATCTTGTCCATCAGTTTATTTTTTTCTTTAGATTCCACATCTGAGTGAGACCATGTGATACTTGTCTTTCTCTGACTGACTTATTTTGCTTAGCACAGTACTCCCTAGGTTCATACATCCTATTGCAAAGGGTAAGAGATCCTTCTTTTTTGCTGCTGCATAGTATTCCTTTGTGCATAGTACCATAGTTTTTTTACCTACTCATCTTCTGATGGGCACTTGGGCTGTTTCCAGATCTTGGCTAATCTGAATAATGCTATGTGAACATTTGGGTGCATATATTCTTTCTGATTGGTGTTTTGGGATTCTTAGGATATATGCCCAGAACATTGGTAATATTTGCACTTAAAATCTCATATGTGCACATCCTCAATCTTATTGCCCTTCTCCCTTCCCCAGAACTAACAGTATCCAGATTTGAGTCCAGTTACCAATTCTTATTTCAACCATAATGGGACAAGATCACTTATGTTGTCATACAGGTGACATTATTCCTTTAGTTTACCAAAGACTCTCTTATTCATATTATCTCAATGCCACAACTAAGGCATAAACTAGAGGAACAATAAGACCTTAATGCCCAATATTAAAAATTTTCTTAATTCTATACTTAGCAATAGATATAAAATCTTCATGAGATATCTTCAAAAATGTAACTGTCTACCTTTAAAAGCGACCCCAATCCTCACCTGCTCCCCCATTATAATTACATAGCAAAGCTATATTCAGAATTCTCTAGAAAAAAAGAACTTTCTACGACAGCAGAATGTAAAGGTAACAGGCAGAATAGTCATAGTTCATACATTTTCCTTAGGCAGCAAGACACCAAATTAGCATTAGCTAATTTGCATGATCACATATGCATGTCTCCTCTTTGGGTTTCAGACTGAGCCAATATGGCAGCTTCATTACAATTTTTCCCCTGAAAACAAACAAGCATTGCATCAGAAGCTTTCCACGGCAGTGTGCTGAATATTCTGTTTTTACTTTTCCATTGCTGGCCGCTGTCACTGAAAATCCATTTCCTTTGTATATTTTTCAATTAGCATGTTTTCAGAGCTTGTTCACCTGCCAGTATCCTCTGTTATACCCTCCCCTCCTCGTTACTCTCACATAACAGACTGTGGGGTGTTCTTATCACCACTAGACATAGCATTGTGTTTTCTCCCACCGATTTGCTTTACTTAATGACTGCTCATGGATATCAAAGACCAGGATTTTAAAGAATCCCAGCAGGAGACGTTAGAGAACTTCCTCCCCTGTGTTTAGATGTTTGTATGAATGCCTGTGCCAGAGGAATGACGGCGGAAGGAGCTTCGGGCATGGAACTGACCACCAACCTTGGAGCAGCCGCGGGATCTGGAGCAGCCACGGGATCTGGGGCAGCTGCGGGGTTTGGAGCCACCACTGGACTTGGCTTCTGCTCTGCAGGCCAGTCGGGAACCATGCGAACAAGGCATTCCACTGGGGGGACCCACAGAGAATGTGGTGAAGGAGTAATAAGCATGAATTTCTTGGAGTCCTACTTTTCCCAGGTAATTTGGTGAGAAACTTCATGGCTCTGTTATTTACGTTAGAGATCTTTTTCTACTTGACTATATTTCAGTTTTGCAGCTGCTTTACAGCTTGTTAAAATGTAACAAAAAATCGGGGTTCTTTGCCTAAATAATACAAATAAACTAGGATGGCTGTCAAAATTGGGCTACTGGTCAAAAGGAAAAATAGGCAAGTAGACACAAAGTGAGAGAAGATAGCAAGTGGCACCTCATCCTTCCAACTGGAATAGCAACGGAAGGCAAACTCTTTTGCATTTCGGGATCAGCAACATCCTCTTTAGAAATGCAAAGCAGCTTGTTTTGTATTTCCTATACCATAAAGGATGTCAGAACAGAAGTGCATATATTTTTATGAGAAAGGTTATAGTATTCTTCACATTTTCAAAGTAGTTCATGCCCAGATAAGTTGAAGAACCATTGCATCAATGATTCAAAAATAAAAGTGGGAAGAAGGGATGTGGTCCAAGATCCAATGAGCACAGAACCATAAAGGGACAAGGGTACCAGAACAGAGAGGACTCTGGGAGCAGGTTGCTTGCCTCCTGGTTGGTGTGTGATTAGAACAGATCTCACATATAGTTTTGGTTTCAGACTGGTAAGTGCCAGGATCTTGCCCTCAGATGAGCTAATGTAGGCTGGCACTGTGCTTGAGGCTAGCCTGGCAGGGAAGGCTTGTTTGGGAAGAGGATTCTTGGGATAGTCTGAGGTGGTGTGGGTCCTAGTTAAGGGGCAGGCTCCCACGAGGGCTGCAGAGTCTAGGCCAAGGCCACAGTCTGAGTGGGAGCTGTGTAGACAATGACGGTGGGATGTCTTCTCCCCTCCCCCAAACACAAAGACATGCATGGGCACAAGTACACACAGGGCCCTCACACTTGGCCCAGGGAGTAACCTCCGGGCTTCATACACATTGGTTTTTCAGGCCTACATCCACGTAAGTGCCTTCAAAACCAAGAATTTACACCTGAGCCTCGGCCAGGCTCAATTCTGAGGGAAAGTCAACTACACTACTCTCCAAACCCCAGATAATTTCTGCTACGATGGTTGGTACGAAGACTACGTCTATGTCCACGGATTACCTAAGTCACGCATTCATGATCAGACCTTGAGTGTAGGGATGGTACTACATTCTTCCGCTGAGTCTCTTTTTAAATTCATTTGCCTACTTTTCTCCACCTTTAGAAAGCATTCGCCTGCGCAGAGCAAGACGATGGCCAGGAAGCAAATGACTGCTTGCTGATCTACGACAACGAAGGCCTGGGGGCCCCCAGCTCCCCCGTGGGCTCCCTGGGCTGCTGCAGCTTCATTGCTGATGACCTGGATGAGAGCTTCTTGGACTCGCTGGGCCCAAAATTTAAACAACTCGCAGAGATCAGCCTGGGGCTCGATGGCAAAGGCCAACAGTCTCAGCTGCCCACCCACGGCAGCGGTTCCGGGACGGGCGCCTGTGGCCACTCCGTAGAGATCCAGCACTCGGAGCTGTCTGGGGGCCAGACCACGTCGGGCGGCCAAGGAGCTTGCGCTTGGTCTGCTTCGGGCTCTGTCCTCCAGCCGGCCATTTGCATCCCCGACCCCCTGCAGCAGGGCGGCTACTTGGTGACGGAGACTTACTCGGCTTCTGGCTCCCTCGCGCAACCCCCCACCGCGGCCTTGGACCCGCTTCTCATGCAGAATGTGGTCATGACAGAAAGAGTGATCTGTCCCATCGCCAGTGGCCATGGCCACCTCCATGGTGCCGCTGAGCTGCGAGGGTCGTGTAACATGATCTACACAGAAGACCCTTGTTCCCGTCTGATATGACCAGAGTGACCTGGAGTAGCATGCTGGCCCCATAGAGATATTTGGACCAAATTATCCGTAATGGCATTGCAAGTCTCAGTATTGGTGTAATTGGGCACCTACTTGCTACGCTCATAAAGGGATCATAATTACAGTTGAAATTTTCTAGTTCATACCCCCAAAGTGAAGATGCTGCCACTCTTAATTCTCAAATACTATTCAAGTGGTAGTAAATGTTAATGCTTTTTAAAAAATCTTCACATACTCAGTAGGAAAATTCCCCAACAATTTTTGAACTTCTGCTTTTGCAGCACCAAAGAAAGGCATCCAACGCTTTAAAATGCAATGCACTTTTAGGAGATCAAGCACTTGGAGTCAAGAGTCCTGGTTCTTGTCTCTGTCGCCTTTTCTTGTATCATTAATAATGATGTACAAGTCTAAGGTGTTGGCCAAAGCATCTTTAGTTACTCAGGAGGGGAAAAGAGAACTACTCAGAGTTGAGTTGTTTCTATCTTCTTGGTGCTGGGAGACCCTAAGCACATCTTTTCCTCAAGCTAAGGGGCTACTGATTTATGCAGTAAACTTGCTACAACTATATGCCTCCTATTCTAAGAATAAGGCAATTTTATCATAGAACATTTAAGAAAGGTTTGTAAGTTGTAAATAGTATCTGGGGTTTCTTTATTCATCTTGAAATGATCTATGCAAAGAAAATGTTTTACACTGAACTCCTTCCTACACCACTTCTTAGTAACAAATCCTGTATTAATAGTTAAAAATGTTCCTTATTTTTCAAATGTCAGTGGGTAAATGGAATTTACATATGACAACATGTCATGATGTTTATTATGTTAACAACATCTACAGACTTTGTGGAAATACAAAACATGGCTTTCTCATGAGCAAAAGGGGCTTCTGACTAAAATAGCACGAGATGACATTTGTGAATATGTATTATAAGCAGCATTTCAGGTTCAACAGGATATGAAAAGGGATTACCAGGAACATCGATTTTTTTCAAGCCTCGCTCTTTTTTTTTTTTTAATTAAACAGCTACAGCAATTTCACTCTTTTTTTTAATATATTCTATTGATTTTTTACAGAGAAGAAGGGAGAGGGATAGAGAGCTAGAAACATCGATGAGAGAGAAACATCGATCAGCTGCCTCTTGCACACCCCCAGTGGGGATGCGCCCGCAACCAAGGTACATGCCCTTGACCAGAATCAAACCCGGGACCCTTGAGTCCGCAGGCCAAAGCTCTATCCACTGAGCCAAACCGGTTCGGCAGCAATTTCACTCTTGACGTAACAATGTTGTTAGTCAAGATTTAGAATATAGTCTTTCATTCATGTTATCATGATAGCAATGCAGTTCTTCAAATCATTTCTGCTCATTCAAGATCTTCAGCCTCTAAGCCACAGAGAGCACCCTCCCTGCGATGGCCATCTGTGCAGGCTGAGTCCCTACAAGGACACTGTGCAGCTCCACTATCTCTAATTGTATATAAAATTCTCCTCATTTTTTTTGCCATATTCAAAACTGATATTTGTTTTTCCAGATGGAATGCTAAGTAATAAAGTGTTCGTGTTTTCACCCAGCAGAGTGCGTGCAGTCTTGAGGATACCTTGGGGGAAAGAGACCCCCTAAATGTCCTTACATCTAGCATGCCCCCCTCCCCCCGAAGCCACAACTCCCAGGAGGGCGCTGCCAGGTTAGCCTGAGGAGTGCAGGCAGCGTGTTCTTCCCGACAAGGCTGCTGCTGCTTTTAAAGGCCTGCAGTGCACTTGGCTTGAGTTGAGGGGAACTTGGCCCCTTGGAGCAGCCTGCTGGGTCCTAAGGGAGTCACTTTGCTATGACAACTGGGCACCCCTTCTCTTGTGTCTCAAAGAAGCTTTCTCTGGGATGTTGAGCTGTGCCTCTGTTTATACAGAAGTTAATAGTCATAATAACCCTTATTCCGAGTTCAAAAGTGTACTCAGGATCCTCAAAGGATTTTAACTTTGCCTCTTAAAACCCAACTTATCGGGATATGGGAATGTTGCTGCATTTGTCAGGCTGAAGAGGAAACCATGCCACAGCAGGAAAGGTTCTATAGTGGAATAATTGCAATTCAATGTGTTCTGAAATGAAAACACATCAGCCTTGTCTCAGAGGACCTAAAGTTGATTTGCCATGTAAAATAACTTCAAAGCAAAAAATGTATCTGTATTTTTTCATCAAAAATAAAAATTGTTTTAAGCAGAAAAAAAATGTAAACTGTCTTTTTACTTGCTGTATCATCAATTTACAACTATATACTTTAATAGTATAACATCATTATAATAAAACCTTTTGATGACAAACTTATGAGTACTTCCTTAACCATTCACTAAAGGCTGAACTACTCTCTATAATCAATAGTTACTTAAAAACATGATAGAAGAAAGTGACTTCCATCTATGTTTTTGTCATTTTCCCAGCTGACCTCTATCCCACCTCCTCCCAGGCGGGAAGGACATACCAGGAGCCCCAGGACCTTCCTCAGGTGGATGCAGACGGTGCTGGGTGAGGTCAGGGCTAACTTTGGCTAACTGGAGGCTGTAACGCATTTATTATTTGTTTGGTAACCTAGCATCATCTTTCAGGCAAAAGTCTTGGCATTCTATGATGACTCAGAGAGAAAGGTTGGAATAAAGAGAAGGTAAGGTTTCCAGCCTAACATGATGAAAAAAAATATACCATGGCTCTGGTGACAGCGTTAGCCACAGCGGGGGGTTGCTCCCCACTAAATGCTTGTCATTTTATGTCTCTTATTTTTTTTAAGAAATGCCACAAGATAAGTCCCTTCAGAACTTCAGATCTTGCTTCTGACTGACCTTCCTCACTCTTAACTGCAGACTTGGACTTGAGGTACCGGAAGCAGAAACTGGATTAGCATGGATGTTGAGTGAAGAAAGTGGGCGGCTTAACTCGGATGATCAACTCAATTTCAGGAAAAATGAAGGCCATGTAGGTAAATGCCACCAGTTTCTCCTATTCTTAGAAAAGTCAAGGAATAAAAATCTTAATTTTCAAAACCAAGAGCATAAAGGGAATACATCCAACTGACTAGCTTCGAAGCGACTAATAATTAAGAAACAAGTGAACGTTCAGGGTCTTTCCTTCCTGCTCTTGGCAACTCAGCACTTTCTCAGCTCCTTTACCGGGCGACAGAGAGTAACTGAGTCACAGGTTATGTGGGTTAACACTTGTTCAACAACACAGGCCAGGAGGCTCTATGTCAGGGGAATAACTGGTCAGAAAACAAGACAACCATTTGCATTGCAGGTGACAGAAAGGACACGCCTTCCAGGACGAACATTGAGGTTCCAGAGCTTTATCCGATCCAGGCTGCGCTGAGATCCGCTCCCACGAGACCGCGGCCACGCTAGGTTGGTGTCTTTACTTTCTTTTTCATTAGTACAATGGCTTTTGGTTCTTTTTACAAATACAACCCAAAAAATCTAAACACACACAGATGTAGCTAAAACTCAAGAGAATGATGGTCTAAAAGAACAAGTGTCAATGAATGCAGCTAGCAGAGTGGGAAGAAACGAGACATGGTGAGGGCTGCCTACCAGGCGGCCAGGAGAGTGACATGTTCTCATTTCATTCTTAAAGAACCCTCAGATTGCAGCCATGAAAACAGAAACTCCGGAAAAGCAAAGTGGCTTCCTCAAGGTCATACAATACTGTGACACAAATGGAAAGGTCTGACTATAATTACTCAGCACTACTGACAATTATTACTCTCAGAATAATCTATTTTCAACTCTAAGATTTGAGTTGAACACGAAAATTTAGAAAGAATACAAAGAAAACAGTCAAAATCATTTTTTTGAATGTAAAAGATTAGAAATCTAGATATAATCCTAAAGATTAAAGAAGCCATATAATATAGGC